AGACACAATACAAAGACATGTATAATTATCCTATAAGAAGTGTATTTACAGAGAGCAGAGAGCATTTGCCAAATTTTGCCCAAAATCCTTTGATCCCTGCAACCAAAAGCAAAAGTTGAAATGTTGCCTTTCTTCAAAGTGTAGTGCGGGGGTGTGTGTCTTTTTAATGAGGTGCATTTATTGTACTGTGTGATGCACAATGAGTGGCAAGGCAGCAACATATGAGTGAGTGAGAGAGAGATTTTAAACGTGCAGATATTTACTAAAAAGTCACTTGTAAACTCAAGTTGACAGTGGACCACAGCGGGGAGAATTTAAGGGATCAGGGTTTTCAGATATGAGCATTAACACCTTTTTCTGTCGTCATGACATTTAACACAGATTAGAAAAATGTACTGTAGTGTCATATTATTAACATGGATTGTCTTTAACATGATAATTTTATTTGGACACATGTTTTAAGTCTGTTTTAAGAAAATTATTGTAAAGCTGCAAAAGAGGGCTTAAAGAGAGTTTGACGGTACACAGGCAGCAGAGTCGCAGCAGGTCGTCTGAGAGTTTTTATGGTTTTCATGAGCTGAAAGGCTTTTTTTTTTTTTTTCTTTTTAAAACATGAAGGAGCAGGTTGCTAAATTGTTGGACACTTGAGAGTATTTTATTTCCAACAAGCACGGAGCATGTAGAGCTTTGGTAAGCTACATTTTCAGATAGGTAAAGATAGTATTAGCTTGACAGTATTTGGCTCTGCGGAGATTTGAATGTAAAGTCTGGATGATGCTTGGAATGTAAACCCACACACTTGCTTGTTTCCCTGTAAAATCCACATTGAGCATTCTATAACCCGATTTTATTGCGTGTGAAACTTTTTATAATGTAACTTTAATCAACCCGAATCGTCTCCTGAGTGCTATGTTTGAAAATGTATTTTATTTTTGTAAAGAAAGAGAGGTATTATTCAGAGAAGGAGGAGGGAGAGTCAGAGAGGCGGTGTGGGCAAAACCTGCCTTTTTTTGATTCTTGTGAAAATGAGGGCTTGTTCAGTTTACAATGGCCTTATTTTGTGTAGGAGACATTGCTTCACTATTGTAGCACACAACTGAAAGTTTTGACAAATGTATTTTGCTTGAAATATTGTACTGAAGTTATATATGTGTATATGTATAGTTTTATGAATGTATTTCTTAATCCTTACACCAGAACCGAGTGTAATCTTTTTGTCATCTTGTTTGCTACACTGTCTCTTTGAAGACTTTCCAGGGAACCTCGCCTGCATTCGTTCAGGTGGCCCCCAACTTTTACTGTACTGTATGTCTTATTCTCTGTGTATTCATTTAAAAAGAACAGCTCTGTGGTTGAAACAAGCATGAATTCTGTCTGGCTAAATGAATTTTTATTTATTTGAACTGCCACGATGGGTTCCAAGCTAAAGGATTGCCCCCCCCCCCCAATTAAGCTATCGATTTAATCTATCAAGCTGATGGAATTGTTTTTGATTTTTGTACTTTGCACTAGAAAATGTTTGCCGCATGGTTACTCTGATGATTTTCTCGTATTTAATCTTTCTGATGGTATGATAATGATGATAATTATTATGATACTAACAAGTGGCGATGATGATGAAGTCAGTTAGACCCAGTACCACACTGATGGGAATTTAATGAGATGCAAAAGAATTGTCAAATATACTGTATCTTAAAGTAGCATGGACTTAGCCTTCCATTTTCTTTACCTTTCCTCTGGCAATAACCATTGGCTGTAGCCCCTTACTGTTGCTGTTGCTCACTCTTGGCTTCAGCCTTTTCCTTTCTCCTAAGATTTTTGGGGATGTGGTATCAGTACCAGCTGAACTACCGCGATGACAAATACGATATAAAGTCACATTTGCAAGAGCTAGAAGAAATTTAGACTCGACAGAGCATGCGGTGCATTGTGAGTAACTTCTATTTCTACGATAGTCCCCCAAGAGCAACAGCTATTAATTTTGTTTTTTATTTCTGCTTTTCCTTTTCTAACGAAGCATGCATTCCATATGTCTGTTTGCCAATGTAGCAGGTGTCACCGAGAGCGAAAACAGACATCACTGCTGAGTTGATGGGCAAATTGGTTGGAGTTTTTTGCTGCTGAATACGCCAGTTTGTCCTCATCCACGTCTATAAATGTTGGTAATCACAGCACAAGTTTCCTGAGTAGCCATTCAGTCCTTTTCGATGTCTGTCAGACTATATGAAGGCCACTGTAGCTTCCCTCCCCCTATGTTAAGACAACCATTATCTTATCAAGCCCAGCAAAGCACAATGTGTAACCCCAAAAATAAAGCAAATCCCTGAAAGGTTTTGATAATATTTAATGGACCACAATTATATTTTCAAGCACACGTTGTAGATCGATGACTTGGAGTCAAATGTAGAGATGGATGAGAACGTCAAAACGTTTAGCCCAGTTAAATTGGATTGCTGGTGTTGGTAGATGAGCGGTTGTCTTTTCTTAACTGGCCTTAACCTTTCCACCAAGGAGTGTTCACAGAGTACGTTTTAAAGGGCAAAGCATAGCAGACCGTCTGATGAAAGGATGCAGTTTATGGCAAAGAAGAGAAAGGGAGCTGTAATTTTATACCTGTGCTTTGTAAATGTTTTCTATGTGCAGTATTTGATAATGTAAAACTGGTATTTTTGTGGTTTGTACGCTGCAGAATTGATTACTTAAGGTGCACGTAGTTTTGTAAGAAAATAGAACCAAACTGAGGAACAAAAAGAACAATTTCGGATTCAGAAGCCTGTATTTGCATGCCCTTTGACATCTGGACGCAAAGTCAATAAAGTTTATTTGAATCACAAACATTTCTCAAGTGTGTATTTTAACATCTTCAGTCCCAGGTGGGCAGTAGTTGTTTTTTTTAATTTTTTGGTAGGAGGAAGCAGAAACAAGTTTAAAACACAACATTGACATATTATCACCTTTTAAATTGATATGGCGAACGTGTCCTATACTTACACATTGGTTCAGGGCAACAATAGCATTTGTTCGTGCCTCTGGCTATCTGATAAGTTTAATATTCCCACTCTGTCTTTTCCACCAGCTCCTGAGGAAGAAAATCGGCTCTTAAAAAGCTCGACTATGTCCAGCAGCCAGTCACTAACCTTGTGTCCGTCTGCCATTTGGTCCTGAGCAGGGTTAGCATTCAGTGGATTTTTAGAGCTTTTAAGTTGAAAACAGCTGGAAGCTGGAGCCAGAAATGTCACTATAAGAGCCATGAGACTTAAAACAAACCAAAGTTGTGACCTCTAAAACCAAAAATAGGGGCCAAAAGACCCTAAAATTCTCCATTGACCTGAGGGAAACTGCAAAGTCAGGTGATGAATCTCTGTGGGTTCATCACTGTTAGCAACCCCTTTGACAGTACACATAGTCATATCATCCATTATTATAAAAACATTGATTGTAGCCACTTAAAAGCCTCTCATTACCTTCAACTATGTATATTTTGCACACAAGGGATGTTTAAACAGTTTGCTCAGAAGAATTGAGTTACAAAACGTTAAATATGACAGATCAACACAGAACAGTAACCCAACTCTTACAATAGGATTAAAACCAATAAGTAGCTGCAGGCAAAAATGTATTAAGTGCATAACGAATTGATAACATTCTCAACTACTTACAGAGCAATAGTGACACTTTATAGCCTGAGGCCTTGCTTCTGGAGAGTGGGAAATAACGTATCTTGACGTGTGTGAAATGCAGCCCAAAGCAGCAGAATGGCTGAAAGTGTGCATCTGAGTAGGTGCAAGGATGGTTAAAAACTTAAGTCAACACAACATATACAATATAATCAAAACAATATTTATTTTGTATGTTTCCACAGGGACATGTATCATATGTTACATATTCTCATATTTAATTGACTAACGTGTGAACATGAAATCAAAAGAGGCATTTGAAGCATATGGGGAAAGAAAGAAATGCAGAACTAATATACAGTACATGTTCATCAATCTTGTTTAAGAAGCATAATATATTCTGATAAAGAATAAAGTACACAATATCTTGATTGACAAGTACATAAAAAGATACATTCCTTTATTTGCTTTTATTTCACAGAAAATATAACAGACAAAAAAAGGAACTGAGTACAAGCAACCTAAAGTTAATCACAGATGAGAAAAGCTCAGGTGACGCCTTGCCGCCCCACAGAGATGGATTTTTACTCCTTCTCCAGAAACGTCTCACGGCTAGCTGACAGATCTGTTGTTCCAGTGCAGAGACGACACATCCTCTTATGGTAATATTGGTCTCAGCAGAGAAGGCGACTGCTGCTGTCAAAGTATTGCCTCAGCTGCCGCCAAATGAACTCAATTTGAAACAAATGCCTGTGAGGAGTAAATGATAAGTTGCTGAGATGTCAAGGCTGTACTGCTTGTTGTTTTTGGCAGCAGTTAATAAAAAAAAAAAAATTGTTATGCCAGAGTATGTTGATTTGTTTCTACATTTACATTCTTACCCCCTCAAATTAAAAGTGACAACACCAAAGTGCCTATTTAAAAAAAAAAAAAAAAAAAATGGAAAGACTGAGATTATTTACAGTAATGGCTTCATGCAGATATAAGAATGAACATGTTAAGAAACGCTTTCAGAGAAATCAGGACTGAGCTCATGTGGGAGAGGTGTAGAAGGGTTAACTAAAACATTGAGAGGTGACAGATTATGGTCGTACAATCGCTTTTTCGCTTCACAATGTGGTTTGGCCAAATTGTAAACGCGTTAGTTACGTCACAGTTTGCTCCTGACTTGATGGTAAGACATTTTATTGTAAATTTTTTACAATTCACCAAAATCTGGACGGGACGCTGTTGATCACAGGACATTCAAAAGACACAAGTGTACGTTGCTCGACAGAGTCAAAGAATATCAAAAACAGACACACCCCAACAATACTCAGGTGTGCGTGTTTAAAACGAGTCCAGTACAATCGTGAACACATTCAGGACACACATTCATTGAGATTTTTTTTTTTTTTGTTGTTGGTCTTGGTCAGAGACTGATGGACATGTATAGTAGAGAAACATTCAGAGATACACATTCCAGAGACACATTCGGATATCGTAATAAGCATACAGTACATACAGAGCTAGATAAACATTCTCCTCATGCAATTCAGTAGAAGCATCTGTTAACATGACTGATCTGTACCTTAAAGTTTTACTTGTCTCCGTCCCGACTTCTCTCTTTATTTCTCTCTTATTTACAGACATTCAACATTATTTGAGGCCTCTATTGTACAAGGTAGATTCTGAACTTGAGGTGTGTGAGCGCTTACATGATTACATTTGCATGCAAGTGACTTTTTTAAGTGTCCCACCGTTGCTCGGGAAATAGCACAGTGAATTGTAGGAGCAGGTATGCCCAAACAGACTGTTAAAGGACTGCTGAATTGATTTTTCTACTAATCACTAGTTAAGTGGCTATACAGTAAAGCATATTGGAACACTGTACAACCATAATAAAGCTAGTGTTGATCTTTGGTCTCCTAAAATGCAGTTTAGGACTTTTGACGCTTAAAGTCACGATTAGATATTGATTCTAAAAGAAGCTCTCTGTAAATTGAGTAGAAGACATCATTATTAAGGGCTGTTTAGGTTTCTGCGGCTCAACTTATCAACACTTAAAGGGACTTCTGAACTTTTAATATTGTTGGATGAGTAGAATAACTTACTTAGATAGATATATATTGTTTATTCTAGGATTTTACTAATTTTACAACTTTCAGAGCCAAACAAATGCATAATAAATACCTTTCGCTTTATTGTGCAGCTTGAAGGTGTGATGACTGGGGTGACTAGCCTAGCCTAGCCTAGCCTAGCCTAGCCTAGCTCGATTTCCGGATTTTTATATTGGAAACTCTTTTTTGGTTCACCACTGTATGCTTGAGAGGTGAGTGACCAAAAATAGTAAATGCTCTTTTGCTAATATGTTTGCAGCTAAAACGAAGCTAATGACTAATGATAATGTTCACTAAACCTGAAGTTCAGCAACTCCAGCCTCTGCATTATTTGAGATGCAGAATTATTTGAGTGATACTTTGCATAACACATTAGTCCTCATCCTTAACAAATTTTCTCTAGTAATGTTAAAAATCATACAGTTTGAAATTATGAATAATAAAGAATAAACCAACGTCTATGTTGCATGTCAAAGTACTGTGTAAGCTAATTGAGCAAACAGGGTTATGTTGGAATACAGTCTGATCTTACATTTTTCCTTATACATGCAATGTTTGGACTGCCTGACTAGGAATGAAAAGGATTTTTAGCCCAATATGGTTTAGCATGGTGTTATATGTAGCTATCAACTGCTTATTTAAGGTTCCTTTTGAGGGTTCTCATTTTAAAATGGGTCAGCTGGTAACAAAAAATTAGCCGGAGACAGGGTTTGGTCTAACTCTTGTTTGAAAAATAATAACAATTCTTTATGGTAAATCTGCACCTGTTAACATTGTTAGCACCATACGTGCTGTGCGGACTCGGAAAGCTCGACAGGTGGAGCAGCAGTAACTGAGGGGGCCAGAGCTTAGCCAACAATCAGTTGTTGTAATTCAGTAACAAACAGAACCATTTGTAATGCTGGATCGGCAAATTAGACAATATTAAAAAAAAACCTGATTAGCCTTGCAACAGCAAATATTTCCCTACTTTGAGAGGATATATTACTTGTTCCAATAAACATCTGTATTCAAGCACATCAACCAGTGAAGCTAAGCTAGGCTAACCTCATTGTACAACGCACCTTCAAACTAAACAAAGAGACAGAAAATGCATTCATGCTTTTTTCTGACTCTGATCAGGTAAGAAAAACTGTAAAATTCTCCAAAAAACCAAACTATTCTTTTAAGTCGAGCAGTTAGTTGACACCTACATATAGCAGATGTGCGCACACTCTCACATACAGGCTAGGAACAAAGGAAGATGTGTAGTCCTAACCAGTGGCCTCCGAACCCTGTTGTCTTGGTCATTATACCAAAATGTTTAGAAGGCAAGCATGGAAATCTGCAAAAACATGGCCATGGACGAGACAAGAAGAGGAAGCATGGGCAGAGAGGAGAGAGAAAGAGAGGTAGTAGTGGTTTCCCAAACCATCCTTCTTCACACCTTGCTCCTCCTTCTCCTCCTCCTCCTCCTCCCTTGCATTAGAAAATGTCTTATGGAGGGTCTAATCCACAGATTCCTACAACTCAGTTTCCCCTCTCTTTTGTGGGTTATTGGCGTTACATCACTTCTTGGATAGATGAGTTCATTTCCAGATGTGTGCTGTCATGTGCGCTGAACTTGGAGTTGTTGAACCTCCCATGTGTTGACTGCTGTATCCCATCATGCCGTTGGTGTTGTAGAGATTCATGCCGGCCATGTGCTGAGTCATCTGAAAGCCACAAAACATACATTACTCTGTTTCTTACAGCGCTTTTATACTTACATTATATTGTCAAAGAAATCTATGTGAAAATCTAGTTTTCACAGTATAGGTTCACAGTAACACACCTGGGTGATGTTCCACTGTAGCTGTTGGGCTTGCTGCACTCCATAAACCTGCTGGTGGGGTAATGTGGTCAAACCTCCAGCCTGCTGCTGTCCCATCATCCCACTCTGCTGCTGTCCCATAATCCCGCTCTGCTGCTGTACCATCATCCCGCTCTGCTGCTGCCCCATAATGCCATTCTGCTGCGGTACCATCATTCCACTTTGCTGCTGTCCCATCATGCCCTGGGTCATCCCCGTCATGTAGGGTGACGCCACAGAACCGCTAGGCTGAGCCATGACACCCTGGGCACCCATTATGCCATTCTGCTGTCCCATCATGCTGTTCTGTTGTACTCCAATCATGCTGTTTTGTTGAACCGGCATCATGCCGCTCTGTTGTTGTCCCATCATGGCCATCTGTGATGTCATCATGGTCCCACCCATTCCACCTGCTTGGGCTAAGGAATGGTACGAACCGTACGGGTGTGTCGGGTATCCCATTTGGTTCATGTACAAGCCTGCCGAAAATAATCACAGACAGAAAGTCGCCGTTTAAGTTCCTGGTAACCAATAGCGTGCTGCAGAGATGGCGTACTTTTGTAGGCCAATGAACCGGAGATGTCTGACACCTCATGAAGTTGTATAATGTCTTTGCAAACATTTGTCTATTTACAGATCCAGGAGCAACGTTAGGATCCATTTGCATTGGAGTATCTGTAAGTTTAATATTCACTCTTCTTTTAGCCTTGTTTAATCTCCACCAATTTCTAAGGGACACGTCTGGCTCTGTAGTTGCTAGATGCTTCACTATGCTCACTAGCTTGTTCATCTGACTGCCATTTGGTGCTGGGCATACAGCAAACAGTGGGTTTTTAGAGCCTTTTCATGGAAAACAGACTACAAATAGTAAATTTACAGGCTGTAAAACCTAAACAATTAGCTAAAAAGGGGAAAAAGACTCCATGGAGTTGAGGGGAACTGCAGAGTTTGGTGGTAATTCTCTAATTCTAATTGTCATTACAAGCAAACCCTCTCAATTTACACATGGTTATTTGATCCATTCTTAACACAACAATATTTTTAGTGCAGCTTTAAAGAAATATGGAAAAAAAAAAACAACCCGTGACAGAAATTAATATAGTTCTCACCGTGAGCAGCCATACTGCTAGCGTGCACTGAGGGGGTGGAAGCATACAGGGAGAGAATAGAGTCCTTGGACAGCTTCCTGACAGTGCCCTCCTCTGCTTTGGGTGTCGGATCCAGGAACAGACTGAGGTTTTCAGGCACAGAGGCAGTCACTCTGCTCTGAGGCATAGAGTTGAAAACAGGCTGGGGGGATGGCAGGGGGCATGGACAGAAAGACACGGTGGCAGGACGCAAGCAAAGGTGACAAAAGAGGCGAATGAAAACACAGGTGTAGGGGTAGATTTACAAAAACATTGGGTTTCTGCGGAGAGCATACAGTGTACAGTATGCATAGCGTTTTATCTCCTACCGTAGTTTTAGTGGAGGAAGCGGAGGAGGGTGTTGGCAGAGAGCTGAAGAGATCCAGGGCAGAGTGTGCCAGAGGTGGATTAGACACCGCTTGGCTCTCATTACTGTCTGGAACACATCCTCCACCATTAGACACCACAGCACTCGGAGCAGGGGCATCTAATAGAGTGTAGATGGAAACATGTTTATGATAATAATTGTGTCAAGTATAACCCATCCATTTCCACATCAATTTATGTAATCAAACCCCAAATTCTCAAACTTAAACTTGGTATTTGTTAGTGCTTGCTTGCCTTTTATGATGCAGACAAGCTTGAATTTAGCTAGATTTGAGATACATTGATAATAATATGAGGGTCCAGGGGGAAATGTTTTACTCTTTGGCTGCTCTGATATTTGGAAAGGTCACTGCTTTATATTCTTTTGCTATGCTAATCAACAGGCTTCCCAGTGTACTGGTAACGATCCATCATACAGTTCTCCGCATTGTACTGCTAATGAGCGTCGGTGTGTGTGTGTGCATGTGCATGAGGTAAAATACCTAATCCCAGCAGGTCTGTAACGGACTGCGAATCTGTCTTCGGGCTGATGTCTTTTTTCTGTCACAACAGACAAAGTGGACACCATTTATGAAACACATCTGCACTGATGAACGAGCCTGAATACAGAAACTTTTTTTTTAAGAACAGAAGAGCTACACCCAGTTTTCTGTCTGTCTGCTGAAAACTCATATCTTAAGGGTTAAAAATCGAACAATTTAAGGACAGGATGGGGTCAGTTCCACTCTCTTAATGTTGTGATACAAGCAGTAGGAATATACAAAGATGCACTCACCAATTTCATCTTCTCAAACACAACTGGTTCCTTGGGTATATTGTCGCAGCTCTTTTCTTTCTGCAAAACGAATGGATTTTCACACAGTTTTTTTCTGCCTACTCCATGGATTAAGACACAAGTAAAAGACTTTTGTGTGTGTGTGTGTGTGTGTGTGTGTGTGTGTGTGTGTCTGCAGACTCACTTTCAGCATCTGGATGTCAATGACCTTATCCATGTACTTCTTCTTATCATACTTGTCCCTGATGAAGATCTCTGCAGACTGGTCTGTCTCCGGGCGCTGGAAGCACTCAGGTAAGAAAGCCTCATAAAGACGCTTGGCCTTGGCATTTCCCATCTCCTGAACACACTGGGGACACCGACACACAACAAACCAAATCAAATTGTTACGCAATCTAATAAAGGAAAAATACAATATTCAGGGCACTATTCCTATTACGGTATCAGTGATATAAAAAGAAATGGACTCCTGCTTATAAAACAGTGGGATTTTTTTTTGGTGTATGTAGGGAATAGAGACGAAGACGAAAAATGCTGACTGTAGGATATTATCACACTGGGAAGCATAATGCCGACTTCCTATCAGGCCCAGACGAGATGAGCAGCATACTAATAAGACGGTGTCGACTTGATCTACTATATGTGAATGTACAAATATTAAAATTACATCCTGTCCCTCCTTTCCTGCTCAATCATGTTCAGTCCTTGAAAGATACAGCTGCAGCGATCAGACAATCAGAAATAGAAGTACTGATCCAACAACTGCTCATTTCCGATGTGAGGTCTTGTGTCATAATACTGGTGGTACAATATAAAATAAGTAATAAAGGATGAGGCAGTTTTTTGTGTTGAAGCTTATACATACAGTATATGGTTCAAATTGGACACGTAACTAGGGATCAGGTTGGATGTTATAAAATTTTACATTCCAGATCTATTAAATGTGTTTTGTAGAAAATCATACTAGTTTGTTAAACATTCCCATCTTGATATCTGTGTCTGCAGCGTGACCTCTGACCTGGACCTGCTCCTGCGTCCACTGATCCAGGTTGACGGACTTGACCTTGGAGATGTGAACCCCCAGGTTTCGATGGATACCAGCACAGCGGATGCAGATAAAAATGCCCAAGTTCCAGGACGCCCATCTCGGACCTGGTGAGTGAAAAGAGACGGATGATGGGGAGTTAATATTTAGAGTAGAGAGTCTTTAGAGGACGCAGATAAAATAACTGGAAAATGAAACTAAAATTGAGGAAAAAAAGAGAAGAAAAGTGACTCTTAGAGGTGTAATAGGGAAGTGGAGTGAGGGTGGGGTGAAGAAGCTGAAGAGATGAGCAAAACTCTGATTAATTCCAGTCCAATTATAGAGAGACAAGCCTGAAACCTCAATTATGAGTTTGAATTCAGCTGGGAACACATCTAATCCCATGTAAGTCATTCGGTGTCCTGACACATAATGGGATCCAATAGGAGGGTTAGCCTACATAACTGAGACTGAGAGGAGAGAGGGGGAGTAGAAATTTAAACAAACACACATACACACACACACACACACGCAGGCAATCACACACAGTCAGAGCCTGGATACCTGCAGGGATGATTACTCATTTGGTCATGAGCCTGTGTGTGTGGGTGCAATGTTATCTGAGTGGGCCATTTTGTCTGTCTTACTGCCATATGCCATATCTTAATGGATGCAACTGAGCGTTATGTGCCCCATATTCACCCCTTTGCTGTATAGGTTTAAGATTAATATAGCGCTGTGTTTGCCTCTGCGTGTCTTCTTTCTGTCTGTGGAGCTGTCAGGCTCCTCGTCTGAACAGGCGACTGAGGGGGGAATAAAAACAACACTGTCAGGCTATTTTTCTGCTCAAATTACGCAACCGCCCTCTTCAGAGTACAGTCAGCTTCAAAGAGAGTACTGGTGCTTCTCTCCCCATCTCTCCCTACATCCCTTCTCCCTTCTCACCCCTCCTATTCCTCCTCTTCTTTTTCCTCCATCTCCTTCCTGCTGCCCCTCCTTCCCTCACTCTAGTTGGCTGAACCACTCTCTGCCTCTTGTCTCCACCTCTCCACTCATCTCCATCACGAGTCCTTGCTTACAACCTTGCTACGAGTTGATGCGCTGTGGCCTTTACACCACTAGGTGGAAGAACAGCTTTTAAATTTGAAAGTGTTCTCCCCTGTCAGCTGAAGTCATTGTGCAGTGTTTAAGAAAGGCCATTCTATGCAAATGAAAGAGGAAGCTGAGTTTCAGACAAGAAAACATGCAAAACCTTCCCGTTTGCGTCAACAGCGGAAACACTGCGCCTGGGTCCAGAGGCAAATAATAGCTCCTTGACTTGGTTGCATCCTGAAGTATTCATGCTAGAAGTAAGCATTATACTATTTGCATTATTAACAGGAAATCATTGGACTGGGAGTGATTTTTCATGTTTCCTGTTCGCTCAGTTTTTGTACTTCATTTCAAAATTGAAAAAGGGACAGACACAGTGAGGCAAAAATGCAAAAATCCACACAGAGAGCAAAGCCAGTAAACATAAGCAGAAGGTTACCAGACAGACAGCGTATGTCCATCATCCTGACCGTCTGGCTGCAGCATTAGCTGTCATGCTGGCTAATAATAGTAGAATTACTCCTGCAAAGCCAGCTTAACTGCTGTAAACACTGGCACCGACACAGAGAAAGCGAGAGATTGTCAATTGTGTTGAAGTCCCCGAACACTGGAATTAGTTTGTCCTCCTCATCTTTATTCTTATGCTCCCCCTGTGTCCCGGCTGCCATTTCTTATCTCTCTCATTCACCAACACCACTGCTCCTCCTCTTCTCCCCTGTCCGTTCATATCTCTCTCTCACAGCTCTAATTCTCTGTTCCTATTACATTCTCCACCCTTACTGTTTGAGGATTCGCCCAAATGCTGTACTTTGTGGATATTGTACCAACTTTATTCTCTTTGCGAATTATGAATTAGATAAAAAAAATTCTAAATCATTCAAATTGTACAAACTTTCTTTAAATGATAAGAAATGAAACTACCATAAATCTAACACTTTTTTCATTAGAAATACTTCTATTATAATAATAATCTCTCAATTCTCATGAGCAAGATTTCTTGGTGTTTTGTTTGATGACAAATTAAGTTGGAAAGAACATACTCATCTGGTTTGCAGACTGATAATCAGTTGGTACTGTCAATAAAATAGGTAGTTTGGTTCATCACAAATGTCTTTACAAATGTCATCACAAATGTCAAAAGTCTTTACTATAGATTAGTTTACCATCACCTCAAATACTGCGGTATTCTTTGGGCTGCTACTTATTCCACTGACTTCACTGAGATACTTTCTTTACAGAAAAGATTGTCAGACTGAACGCTCAGCCCCGCTTTTCTGTGATTTGAATGTTCTTTCTATTTTCAATATGAATGTACTGTATTTTTTTTATATCTACAAATGCATGTACCAGCCTAATTTGGATTTTCAATAATTTAATAGATTCAGTCAAAATTTGTAATCCACACACATAATATCAGACATGTGCATCATTTACATTTTCCAGGATTTAGAGCATCTCACTTTCAGTACAGTAGTTTGAGGAAGGATGACAGACTTGGCTGTCAGACATTTTAAAGAGAATCCCACCTGCATACTGCACCACAGTAGGATCTTTGGCTCCAATCAATGCAGTGCTTAAGTCAGAAGCCATATACAGTATGTCTGTCCAGCAACAGTGCACACCTCCAGGTACTTTGAACAGAGTTAGTAGGAAGAGAGTAGGAGGAATAGACATCTAAAAAAAGGCAGGAAAGGTTGAACAAACAATATCTACAAATCAGATTCCCTGTGTTGCAGGGTTTGCATTGCAGTCCACATTTCTCCACTAGTGAGTTCCTCTTCCCCTTTTTGTAATCAAAGATCAACTGCCAACACCTTCTTTGATGTATAATTTAATACTCCAGATTCTTCTAATAAAGCCGTCCTTTGTTTTTTTATAGGGCAAGCCACCCAAAAATAAAGGGTTCGCATTGGCGATTGATGAATCACCCTGGCCAAAAAAAAAAAAAAAAAGGCTGTGGCTGTGAAACATGCACTTTGAGGCACATTAGGGGAAGACAAGTCAGGGACAGGACAAGAGCCAAAAACTGAGACAAACAAGAGTGGATTTTTTTATATTCATCAAATGGTGGACTTCAGCTCTTTGATAACCTGCTGGGATGTACGGAGGGTATAACAAACAAGAAGTGCAAACAGAGCTCTACAATGAAGCCCTCTGCCACTCACCCAAGTTCGCATTTATTTGCATTAAAACACTTACTACATATGTTCTCTATCCCTTTACCCTAAACACATCTGTTTAGTGCACTTATAATATTTATCCTTTGCTTAAATAAAATGTTATGTTCAAAGGGCCATACCAGTGAAGTTTTATCCATTGGACTATCCACTTATATCTATGTACACTGTATATTCTTGTCGACCATTTCTGAATACATGCTGTTTTTGACTTTGTACATAGTTTGAGTGTTTTTTTTGTAGTTTGTTGATTGGTTTGACAAAAAATTAACCCTAGCCCGAACTATCATAATGATAGTGTAGAATTTACTTGATTTTCATTGTGGTGAATGACTCATACATCAATATCATACAGAAGGAAATTAATGGCTGCCTAAAATGTCTAACCCTACTCCTTGAGAGACTGCCTCTCAAACTACTGATCATCTTAAATATGGAAATACAACAATACACACCAGTATGATGCACTGACAAACAAACAAGTATGAGTATTATCCTAGATGGTCAGATTTCTTCTGCCAAACCCTGTCTGTTACACATTAATCTGTTTTGAGGGAGCATCATAGCAATAAAATCTCAGGGGAAAGTGAACAACAGACAAAGCTTTTTGGCTAGAAGCTGATTCAGTTCATAAAGGAAGTCTTAGAGTGTGGGCCAACTCCTCTGCTTTGAGCTGCTTTGACTGCTCATGCTCTGTTCATGGTTTAAAGGTCTGTGACAAAAGCAATTCCAACAGGTCTAACAGCGCATCGCTGTGTAGTACATCACATTCATAATAGAGCTCATGGGGGGAACTCATGCCCGGCAGACTAGAGCTAGTGTTGCCCACCTGTGCTTCCCAGGGTTCAACACCAACATGGGCACCTGTTTGTTTAGGTCCTGTGGTGCCAGCAATTAGTTGCTTTTGCTTATTAAAATAATAAATAACCATTTAGAAAGAAGGTTACATTATGGCTTATGGGAAAATTGGAATTATTAACTTACCACCCTAGTTATAGTTTGGTTTGTTTTGGGGTTTTTGTTTTTTGGATGTTTGACTTGGAGTAATTTGATGTTGATGACAGAGGTTATTGTGTTGGTTTGGTTCATGGTATGAAGTGTAATGATGTGACATTTCTCTAGTTTGACTTCTCATAATGTCAAACAAACTAAACTAAAACACAGAATCATACATTAACATGCTCACCATTTTAACATCCCCTTCCCCAGGGGAGCTTTTTTTCTGATACAAGGTGACACACATAAATGCAGTATGTCATACAAACACATTTGTTCATGTACACACCCACTAACTTGCACGCACACGTGCGCAAGCAGGTGCATATGGTTCATTAGCCTATATCCCACAAGGATAAACGTCTCTCTCTGCATGCACCCAGTTAATCCCACAGAGCCTCAGTCATCAGTGGATTCGACGCCCTCCCACACCACCCACACAAACACACACTCGTGTCTACACAGTTGTCCCATCCTCAAGCCCCTCAGCATCTAAACCGATCCAGAAACCCTGAGGCCACGCGGTGACCCAGTCCCTGTCTGAGCTTAACAGATGGACCTCTATTGATAATTTACTAATACACCCCCACCATCTGTGTTACAGTGTGGATGTCATGACTGTGATACTGCAGGTGAGTCATTGAGGTTGAGTGGATATTACATCAAAAAATGAATAAGACGTTACATCGCTGTAAGCTTTAGATTCTTCTTGAAGACTTGTTTTTATGCCTCATTTTGTCCTTTTACTGGCCCATGTGTTCACTTGTCCTCTCCGTTCCGACTGCTGACGTCCATTTGTTTCGGTATATCATTTGGTTTTGCACATACAACACCTCCACAGCACATATACCACTCATCCATGCACTGCTTTCATGACTAAACCAGCTGATTTCCACACCTCATTGCTTATTTATCTTAAGCAATGTGATCTCCCTTATTGTCACATCCATTGAGCCATGTTTGTGACATCATAAACATGAGAGATAAATCTATGCCATCTCCTGAACGTACTGCTACCTTTGTAAATATGTTGTGAGTTGCATCAACTCTATGGTCATTTTTGGCTGGACCACAGCAGCAGGGCCAGACCTATTAACAGGCCTGTCGCTGACTGACTGAGTGATGAAGTTACACCATTGGTCACCCAAATGCCACGTGACTGAGTGATAAGGTTACACCATTGGTCATTGCTCTTTCAAAATGATTTGGCATGAACAAGCTGTGTTGCCTTTGTCTTTAGATGAACCGAGTTCTTTAGCAACGGCTTTTCAAAAAAGCATCTGACGACAAATCGAGCAAATTTTTGGACAAACCTTATCTACCTTCCATAGAAGAGAGTCGCCAGTATTGCGCCGGGAGCATAAGGTCGGACTCTCCCTCCACAGGCACACCTCTCAAACCTAGGACCATGTAATATTCAGAGAATATACACACAGAGTAGGAGGAGCAGGGTTGTTAAATGGTGATCCATCATCTTATTTTACCCAGGGGCCCCTAGCAGATTAATCCAGCCATGCCAGTGTATTAGACAACTGTATAAAATACTGTGTACTCTAACACCTTGCCACCCAATGCTTGGTACTGTGTGACTCTGAACTCTGTGCCAGCCAGGAGACACAACCGGCCAATCACCTCCTCGTGTCAAAGGAAATCCCTGCTGGCTTCTGATTGGATGAGATTAAGGGTTGGAGGGATAAGGCATGACATCGCCAGGTGATATCTCCACAGCAACCAGGGCCCGGTATGTACGTAAACACATGTACAATGGAGACAATAAAGGAGGCAGGGTTTTATACAAGCGCAAACACACACACACACTCTCTCTCTCTGATACACACACATGCAGCCCCTTGAGACTGAAGCCAGAGGTGGAAGTGTTGACTACATTATGCACCTGCCTCACCCTCTCACCCCCATTTCTTCATTATTTCCTGGCAGTTCTGAGGATTTACTGTACAAGTGTCAGGCCGTGAGGAAGTGATTAAAAAAAAACAAAAAAAACAAATACCAAAGAACACCATACTGCACAGAGGAAAAGAGACAGACAGGAAGTTGGGCAGCACAAATATAGTTTCATTGTTGCGGTATCGCCACAGTAAGCATAGGTAGGGATTGCCTGTTAGCAACAAACACAATCTGTGTGTGTGTTTTTTCATGGGCTGTTGTAAACGTACTCTTTGCTTCATGCATCTCGTCGCTTCCTCTTTCAGTCACCCAGAGGGAGGAAGGTGATAAACGCACAGTAATCTGTGTCAGAGCAAACAAGATTAGACCAAACCTCATCACAGGGCAAAAGCCTGACTTGAGAGAAGGAAGGAGAGGGGACAAAGGCATTTAGTGTGTGCTCATGTGTGTGTGCACGTGCATGGTTCTTGTGGGAGTGTGTGCTTGTCATGGCAATGCAGGAGGTAAAATATCTCTCTTCATGCATCAACCTACATCACAGTGTCAGTTTATTCATTAGCACAGTTACATGAAAGGTGAGAAATGACAGTGATGTGTGACCTTTCAGAAAACACGCTTTTGGGTTGTACGCACCACTAAATAATACAAGAAAAATGTCACTTTTATAAACTTTACAGCTAAAGCTTTAGCATCTTGGTGTGCCTGTGGTGGCTATTTTCTCCCATAACCCCTAATCTCATCTGCAGTCTAATTAGACGAGTCTGTTGCACAGTCACACCAATCAAAAAAGGCACCAGCATGCTTGATGACTGCATGTGTTTTATGTGTGTGAGAATAAGACAGAAGACAAGCTACACGTGAGATGCAACAGGGTATCAAACTGAACTGAATTCATCCTTAACAGCAATCAAACTTATGCAAATGATTTAAATGTCCTTTCCCTCTTGACACGTCCCTGTCTTGGATCAGAAAGGTCAACTGCATCAAATGCAATAATAATGCCTTGCTTTTTATTGTCTGTGCACAGCCACATCTATGGATAAACTGCAAGGGCCTGATCACACTGCTTTTTAAAACTGACTTCTGAGCAGTCACAAGTGTGTTTTCCGGAAATTTAACAACATCTGCACTTCTATTTGTGTCTTATTAAAAGCCCATCCAACAGGCATATCCACAGGAACAAAACCTGGTATTGTAAAACTAGGCTTTCGGAGAGTCCTGATGACGTCTCTGGTTTGAATCCAAGCGAGACCTTGACGTCACATGTCATCTCAACAAAGTACTGTACAACCTTGCCATTGTCTATGTACTGTGTTTAAAAGAAGACTTAATGAAAGTTTGCTTCTTCTTAAAAGCAAATGAAGAATTGATCATAAAATAAGTATAAAGAATAAAACTAAGAAAGACTGCATTGAATTTGTATTAGCATAATGGTGTTGTTTTATGTTAAGTGAGGTTGCATATCTATAGAAAAAGAATTGCATCTTTATTTTCTTTTTTAACAGCCACTCACTGTCTCTCATGAAATATTTGTGATCCTGCATCAGCACGGATCATTTTTACCTGCATTTGGCAGCTAAAGAAGCTGAAAGAGATACAGAGATGCAGACACTGTGATACAAAACAACAGAGACACAAAGGCAGACAGAGAGTGAGAAATATAAAGAGAGACACAGGAAGAACACCCAGATACTGGCATTAATACAAATGAACAAAGCTCACACACTAAGTGGGAGCACTGAGACTAAGGTTAACTCATTTTCTGAGGTCAAAAAACTGTCTTTCTGTCTGTGCCACCTCTCCTGTCTGCACGTTTGCACCAAACATCAGAAATGTGCTCTCCTGACATGACAGCCTTGTACATAAACCCACAGAAGACTTATTGATTTCAAATCTTTTTTTAAGCCGTGACAAAACTAAGATACGAGCATGCTTTGTAGACTTAGTATTTCCCTGGCGCTGTTTGCCGGCTAATTTGTCTGCCTGCTTGTCAATCTCTGTGTCAGTCAAAGAAACAAACACAGCTCTAAACCTTTAAGCTGCATCTACCACAGAATACATCTTACTCCCTGTTAGATATGGAAAGCTGCTTACTCCTATCATTCATAAAGTTTTCATAAGGAATCTCAAGCGTGTCCCCTGCATGACAGCGTGCAGGGATTTACGTACATTCAGGGCCTTCACTTGACAATTTATGAGTGAGCTGGGAGCAGTGCCGGTGATGTGGAAGCATACACTGATTGACATGCAGCTGCACTGTTGAGTCATTTCTCTGACCACGTATGGCGTCATAAGGCCAGTCTCATCAGTCTCAACACCAAGTTACATCAGAACAAGCTGGGACTCCAGCATTCCCTTGAAAGCTGAGATGCTACACATAACAGTATCATATCGACCTTCCTTTCATTTACCCCACATATCTTACAAAACAATCCAACTCATTTTGCATTGAAAAGATGTAACATCCCTCTAATAAAGATAATTGCAATCAGATGACACAGGAAAGTTATTTACACCTGAGTTATGACACCTGAGGTTTGCCTCTGGCGACCAACAGTGTTTGGGAAGTGGTTTTAGTGCGTGACAATTTACTTGTCGATGTGTGAATCTGCTGTATAGTATGCACATGTTTGTTCTCAGCAATTTTGAGTCAAAGATATAGTCAACTTTTTGTAGGCTGTTGATCCTGACAAAAAAAATGAAGGCAAAATGTTAGAGAATCAGTTTGTTGATTCAGTCCCAAACTCAGTGTATCTGTGAGCTAAATAGCAATGTTTACCCACCAGTATGGCAAAACAGGTTCAGCAAATAGGTGAGGACATAGTTCAAGGCCTGACTGAGGCTACAAACAGACTGGAGGCTCAGTAGGCATGCATACACACGTAAAAACAGACAGTCTGGATTTAGTGATTCTTGTATCCAGTGCATAAAATAATTCCCAATACATTTCAGAACCAACTACAGAAGCACACTATACCAACATCCAAATAAATGAGGAAACCTGAGGGACAGTATGACGTCATATCAACCAAATCACTAATTCACTTTAAGTATTACACAATAAGTCATTACTGAGGGCCATTAGCCTTTACATTAGCCCTATTAATGCCATTATAACATGAAAGTAATTGAGGTGCCTTTTTTGTAAAGAGTTGGCCTTGTCGGTGTCCCACTCTGCACTCAGCCTGCAGGAACAGTCTGTTCAGGGTGACTCAAAGTCAGCACAGGTGTCTCTGTGTCTATCTCTGTGTCTGCTACTCTAGTGTTTTTCAAACTGGGGCTCAGGGAACCCAAAAACGTCTTGCAAGTATCCCAATAGTTACTCATTTCATCATTAGTAACAAAATCCGTCTTATATGGGCGTATTCCTACCAGGTGATTAGAGATAAACTATTATTTGGAGAGTAGGGGGGCATGGTATGGTGTAGCTGAATGCCATGCTCCAGCCTTGTGAGGATGTGGCCCCGTGTCTTGCACCATAGTACAATGTAATTGGCCGAGAGATGATGAATTGCAACGCCGCATTTCCAGGCGTAGTAACTGAGACTGTCGATTCACGCGCTGACCATTCGCAGGCTGTACTCCATGGACAGACACTGACACAGGACCAAAATCACCTACCTTTTGATTCGCAGTCGGCGCAAAATTTATTCTCCTCCAGCGCCAGCAGAGAGTTGAGGACAGCCTGGTATCTGTCAACGTCTTTCACAGATTTGCCCGTCATCATTGCACTACAGTCCGCCTCCTCCACAGCCCCTACAGCCCGTGCCGGCTATTTGTTAAATAGCCTCTTATATCACAAAATGAAGCAAGTGTGTGCAGAGGCGATGCGCTCCGTCGCTCTTCCTCCTCCTCGATGTGGAGCACAGCGTGTTTGTTTCACCACGATGGGATGATTGCCTTTCAGCCAACCAGCATGCGGGTTAGTCGAGGCGCAAATACCCTAAACAAGACGTAAGGTGTAGAAAAACACCATGTGATAGCTAAGATTCAAAATTTGGTGGTGAGTTTGAGGCGCATCTGTAACCTGAGTCTCCTTGCTCTCAAATTGTCATCTCTCTCTCCCTCCCTCCCTCTCTCTCTCTCTCTCTCTCTCTCTCTCTCTCTCTCACACACACACACAAACATGCACGCACGCACGCACGCACACACACTCACAAACAAGGATTCAAACACCTTATTAAAACATAGTTGCTAAAGTGCGAGTGGTTATTCCATTTATAAAGAAACTATGTTTTAAAGTTGTATTTTCCTGCTTTGTAAAGAAACGTAAGCGTAAGGTCGTGTGGTTTATATTAGTGGCAATATATTACGTGTACTGCCATCATGTGGTCAATCATGAGAAGTTTATGAGCAGTAGGTCTCGCTGTGGGTTTCTGTTCCCCTCCAAGACGCAGGACGGCGATAAAAGTCACCTGCCAAGAGTAAAACAGCAGAAGAGAGGTTGATGAATCAGCTGATGGAAAAACTGCATGAAGCCAGAAATGATGTACTGAAGCAACACCGGAAATTACATGCTTTGCGTTCAAAATAAAGTGCTTAATGTGTCTCTTTCTTGTATTAAAAAAGGAATGCTATACGCAAGAACAAGATAACAATCGCTTGTTTTCAAAACTGAATGTATTTTTTCACTTTTATCTATTTTTTCTTCCATATCCGTGCATTGTATTATTCACGACTTTCCCTTTATAATTATTTTGGTCTAAAGTAAGACCGGAAGTTTATAATGTAATGTAGCTAACTTGACATTCGTGGAAGCGTGTGACTAAACTGGTGATTACGGAAATAACTGTTCAGCCAGAATCAAATAAATAAAGGATTAATATCGAGTGGCCACCTGTGTAAGCCTATAACACTGTCCACAATGTCCAGGCAATCCAACCGAACAACAGACAGCAAGAAGATGGTAGGCGAATCCCGCAGGATTAACATCAGGCGAATCTAGCTAGCCTAGCTAGCAATATGCTAACCGTAGCCAAATAACGTTAGCTCACTTAGCAGCGGGCTATGTTATACCTTGGATAAATTCCTTGTCAGCTATGATCTTTGTTCGACGAGCGATATATTAAAAGCATTTGAAACAGCCGAATAAATACTATAACAATTGTTGAACATTGATGGCTTGATTAGAAATGTAGTTTGTTGTAGCGCAGATGCTAAATAGCTCCGCTTTGTAAATGTATATGATTCTCCTAGAACATTCACATTAATACAGCCTGAAAACTAAAATTCATAATATACGATTATAACATTATTGCCGAAATGCATCTTATCAGGGCAAATAAAAAATGACTCGACTAATCTACTGAGGTGAACTACACTGCAAGTCAAACTTTCTAGTTAAGAACTTACTATTTAGTGAAACACTTTAATAGCCACAAAAAGGAGCCTGCACCACCTTTGTGGTGGGTCAGTAATTACTTTTAGAATGAGACCAATTTTTGTTAGCACTGTTAAAGTGGGAGGTATTATTGTTTTATAGCTGCTGTGATGACACTGCGTGAAAAATGACTATACATCAAGTTAATGAATTATAAAGTGCATATAAATAGTTTTTATTATGTGTTAAAACCTTTTCTTTCTTTTTTTTTATTAATGCTATTAGATGTCATTTCAGCACCAGGAGCTGTCCATATCTTGACCTGTTCAACCTCCTGGTGCAGGAAGTAGCCCTGTGTCTGTTAGCATGCCTCTCTACACTGCCTTTTTTTTTTTCTTCTTTACCTGACCTGTGCCAAAATTCTGGGTGTATTATAAACTTAACGCAGGCAGTGAAAGTGGTTACATGTCTTGAAAAATGTGGAAGCTTGCAGTTATTTTAACCCCTATATCACCAGGAGCCCCTGGCCACTATTTGTGTGTTTTATATAACTTTACCTGGATGCTTTCTGCTGTGTTCAACATATCCTTTAGGGTGGCTTGGTGCTGTGCTATGCAAGAAGAAACCACATATATTGGTCTTAAGACTTTTCCCAGAATCATTCATTCAATTTTGGGCAGCACAAATAATAAGTCAATTTTGTTGTTTATGCTTGTAGAACTCTGAGCTGTTCACACTGACTTATGGGGCCCTGGTCACCCAGCTTTGTAAAGACTATGAGAACGACGAGGAAGTCAATAAACAACTGGACAAGATGTAAGTATCCCTGTCTACTTACATTATTTTCACACGAAATCATTACAGTTTACAAATAGTGTAAATGCTGAGCAAGTTCTCTCAAACTTGCTGGTGTGAAACAAATGGGTGAATTTTGAATAGTGCTACATTAGTAATACATCCTTAAAAACATCTTTACCAGTGATGTATGTCCACAATACTTCACATAATTCCCATAATTTATTTTGTTTTATTAATGACATGGATCCTTTATTCCTCACAAATATAAACTAGTTATAATCTAGTCTTATAGAGGCTATTAATGCGGAGTTGCTTCTCTCCAATTTGTCAAAATTTAGCTCGTTTAATCAAGGGAAGAGAGGGAATGTATTTGACCTCTTGGGTGTCCCCCGTTAATTTGTTGTTTCCTACCACTCTGACATATTCTGCTGCCCTCTATTCATAATAAACTTGGACACAAACTGGAACACAGAGGTGACACAATGAGTTTTCTCACTGGTTTTCTTTCTCACATTTCTGTGTCAGAGGTTCCCTGTACTCTTGTTATTTCAGAACATATGGGAGCCTCTGAAGAAGAGAACAGTGATATGTGTTTTTTAAGACAAAAAAAATCTCTGGAAAACCGTACTGGACATAATGCTCCCACAAAATAAGATTAAGAACAAAGGATTGGTTTATAACTCAAAAATGCAAAATATCCTGTCATGCTGACAGGTCTTTGGACTGGATGTACTTTGCTTTTCTGGTTGTGCGGCAACCCTAAGCTCTGTGAGATGAGGCTTGTCTTACCTGGCCTTAGAAGGCATTGAGTCTGCACTGCCCACTCTGCCAGTTGCCAGCCAACTGGTCAGAGACAGACCATGTTAGGATTGGGATGCATCAGTTGGCTTCAGACTCTGCAGTTAGGATAAGTTGACTAAGTTGACTCACAATTATCATAATTTTCCAATTGTATAACTGTCTTCTACGTCTTTACGGTGCAGTGCAGTTGAGCCTATGAAGACTATGAAGAGGCACAATGACTTTATCTCGCTTTCTCTTGCTTCTTTCTCCGCCTTCCTCTCTTTCTTAGGGGTTATAACATCGGAGTGCGTCTCATTGAGGACTTCCTGGCACGCTCCAGCATCGGCAGGTGTCAGGATTTCCGAGAAACAGCCGATGTCATTGCTAAGGTAATTGGAAGGTTCCAGGCCAATCAGAGCGTGACCGTGGATTTCTCCCAAGATTGAGGGGAGGAAGGAGGAGAGAGAGAGAGAGAGAGAGAGAGAGAGAGAGAGAGAGAGAGAGAGAGAGAACTTGATGAAACACCCTAAAAAATGATGAGAGAAAGTGGAGAAGCATGGTGAGAGGAGGAAGAGGGAAATGCTTGTGACCTAATAGATGAGAAGAGTCCCAGAGACCATTACTTTTCCTAAATTTTAGGCCAAGATCACATTCCTCTTTGCTTTGTGTGACAGTTACAGAAGGTGAGGATTCACTTACATGTGGAATGCACTGTAATCTCATCCCTCAGAGACGTGCTCCATGTTCACTGATACTCCTTCTCTTCTTCACTGTCCATGCTCATGTCCTCTTGGTTAGGCTCTGAAACAACTACAGCATCTTGTAATGCGCCTTTCTTGAAAGGAGTCAGTGGTCTTGTCATTTACTGATCATCTTACTGTTGTGATATGTTGTACCTCAGTCTTCGTCACTGTATTTATCCCTGGCCTGGGGAGACAGAAGAACAGAGGAAGGCTTCATCAAAGGCCTGATTGTGTGTTCAGCACTCCAGCTGTTTTCAAGGTGTTTGCTGCTGCTGCTGCTGCTGCTGCTGCTGCTTGCTAGGGAAGTCCTGCCGCAGATGTAACCCCACACTAGCTCAGGGAACTGGCTCGTGGTCATGAAGTGAAATGGAGGACCACTATGGGACAGCGATTTGGAAAGCACAATGTCAGCTTCGCCTCAGGTTATCATGTGACCTGTAGTCAAACTCTGAAATCACTTCAGTCATTGTTCAGCTAAATATATCCAGAAGAGGCCTACTATGTGGTTAGAAACAGATTTTCTATAGTTATTGATCCAGAATAGTTTCATTATTGTTCTGTTTTCAGTGTCTTTAAAAGGTTATTTGATTAAGGCTGGACTACCAGATGCAACCATTTTATATTTACGAGTAAAAATCTGCCCAGTGCCACTCTTACTATTGTAATTGATTGGACTGACAGTTGGAATTTTGCTAGCTCGATTGAAATTTGATTGGTCAGTGCCTTCCTGGTACAAAGTGCTGCAGAAGAACAGGAGCAACAGACAGCAGTTACCAGAAAGCAGGTGTGCACAGATAATACTGTTAGTATTCTAGTAACACAAACTCACGGTAAAACCTTCCAGCAAAGAAAAACTGATTATAACTTTTACTGTGGAGAAACTGCAGGAACTGCTGAGTGATAGTCAGTGGATTTGGTTAGTGGATCCGCCAACCTGCTTTGGCAGTGATGTGCAGGCTCAGTTGATGTTCAGAGAGAAGCCCAGATAATAAAACCTTTGAAAATTTGGACAGGACAGAGCAGAACATTGGGCCGATGTAACCTCTTCCACCTGCGTCTCCGGAGCCCAAAAATAACACTGGACTCAGAGGACAGATAATAATCTTTTAGTTCAATTTAGCATGCGTCTTGAGTAATCGGCAGATGTAATATGATAGAAGAATTTGGCACAATTCATTTCGGCACTGCAGCTAGTTTATTTTGGTGCAACGAAATTTGTATTGGAGCCGTAAAGCTGTTGCTGAAAAAAATCTAAAAATGTATTTTTCTTATTTAATTGAGTAATCCTGCACTGTGTTTTTAACCCACTCCTCTGTTGTGGTTGTTGTCAGGTCGCATTCAAGATGTACCTGGGAATCACGCCCAGTGTGACCAACTGGAGCCCAGCAGGAGATGAATTCTCCCTCATTTTAGAGAATAACCCGTTGGTAGACTTTGTGGAGCTACCGGATAACCACAGCACGCTGATCTACTCCAACCTGCTGTGTGGGGTCCTCAGAGGAGCCCTGGAGATGGTAAATTCAACACTTCCAAGTTTTTACACAGTCTGAATGTGTGTTGCTTCTTTCCAAAATGTTACACACAGTTACAACTATTAACAATAAGCAGTTCGGGTACACCAATGAGATATTTGATAAATAAAACAGAAGCAAATGAGGATAAATATGGCTTTCTAGCGCATGTATGTGTTAGTATTTTTGTGCGTGGAATTGTAACTGATTATAAATCTGTTTCAGGTCCAGATGGCGGTGGATGTGAGATTTGTCCAGGACACTCTGAGAGGGGACAACGTTACAGAAATCCGAATGAAGTTCATCAAGAGAATCGAAGAAAACCTCCCAGCAGGAGATGAGTAATGGAAATGAAGGAGAAGTTACACAAGGCAAGGAACACTTTCACCTATAGACTGACAGGATGAACAAACCAAACTCAAGACATCAAGCTGAGTGGTACATCTCAATCGTATGTTCCCTTTCCTTGCAATCTTGAATATTGTCAGTGAGTTGAAAGACTGTATTAACATCATAGCTTGGATCTCTCACATTAAAAGTTTGAAAGGAGTCAAGGTTGATATAAAAAAAAAAAACCTCCTCAATTTCTAGTATCTTCATCTCCTTTTTATTCTATCTGTGTTGTTAGGAGAAGAATGCTAGGAGTTAGTTAGGCGAGACTATTGAGATTCATCCCGCAGAAAAGACACACTGTACACTATTGAAACACCACACCAAGATCATAACACCGCTACCTTGAATATTTTATGAATGACAAAAAAAAAAAAAGTCTTGAGAGATCTGCAGTGCAGTTTGAGAGTTTCTCCCTAATGACAGCTGTCAACGTAGAGGGTAAAAGAACTCGTCCCAGACCATTTATCTGTCACCACCCCACATGAAAAGTCACTTTTTCTTCATTTGACGTTAAAATTTCTGTCTTGTTTCCCGAAAGAATGATGAGTTTTGATGTGGCCATGTGTTGGCTGTTTTTTTTTTTTTTCTTTGGTGCAAGGCTGGAAAGCCCTACATTATAATGTTTATAATGTTTTCATGTTTGTCATGTTTGTCATGTTTCTTTCTCTTTTTTTTGTTAAATGAAATCACATTCTATATTCCTGCCAATTGTCTGGCATGATAATTTATGTAGATGCATAAGTCAAATAAATGCAACATATTTGAAATGATGGTTTTCTCTTGTGTTTGTGAAAGGTTAGAGTTAGGTGACACTTCATAACATGCCTGTTAGGAGACCTGGAATAGTTTTAACTACACACACACACACACACACACACACACACACACACATGCACTGAGTCCTCTGAACCACCCTGTGTTATTCCTTTGGAGTACCACAGCCACTCTGCAAAGGCAAACAATAACAGACCAAATTTCTCTCTTATGTTTGTTCAGGGTACATGGAAGTAATCTGTGTGTGCATGTGTGTGTGTGTGAGAGAGTGCGTGCAAAAAAGGAATGGCGGCCTAACTAAGAGTCACCAGTGCTAGGTTCTGGTTGTCACACCTGTGAATGGCTTTACATCAGCCAGAAGTAACGAACACAACTCATTTGGGTCCACCGCACACCTCGTCAATAACTAAAAGCACAGATGGCCATTCACGCACACATGAACACACACAAACAAATCATCTCTGCTCCTGCTTTAGAAGCAAAAAATCTGTTCTGAATACTATGAGATCATTATCCACGTTTTTCTTATTCTTTTGTCTTTTTTGTTTCACTGTGTAACAACACAAGTGTTTGTATGGAAACTCATGAGTCTGCTGAAAGCACTTAGAGGATGAGCTTGTCAGACAGGGATTTCCTTTTGGGGAAATCTGTCAGCTATTAGCTGCTGGAACAGGCTCTTAACATCCTACCATATAGGATGCTGTTTTATTATAGCTGCTATTACATGACCCCATTTCTGGTTTTATAGTTAAAGTATTCAGACAGTTGAAGATATATTCTCCCAACGGCCACCAGAGGTTGCTCTGTACATTATGTTCCTCAGCTGCAGGCTGCATTGTTCTTTTAGTATGTGGCTCAAGTTATGTACATTTAGTATTTTTTGGCCAAAGATGGATATTGTGGGAGAAATACATTCCCTTTTTTGTGGGAATAGAGGCCATAGCTGCCAGTAAACATAAATAAAAGGTTCATTTTCAGATTATGACTATGGAAAGTGCAGACAATTCGCAGTAGTTGAGCAGAGTGACCGATGCCAATTTGTGGACCCTAGCTTTGATTTGGCTCAAGATTAGAGAAACGATGACAACATGCAGTCTTTGTACTTTGTAATCCAGGGGAAGATGTATTAGGGTGGGATTTCTTAGTATTATTTACTGTCTTAAGCCTCTGCCCACTTCTGTCAGGGGTAGTGCTCATTTAAAAGGATAAAGAGTGGAAAGTGGAAGCACCGCGAGGGCCGTCAGCATGCAATAAGCCCAGTGGGCCATTAGGCAAGCTCTCAACACATTACGTGCACATATCTATGCACCCTGTAGGCCCATGATGTGGATGTTGGATGGAAATAGTTGCAGGAAATAGTGTTTTTTTGTGAAGAAGCTCAATGTAAATGACTTGGCAGAATTAGAGCTGTGTACCGGGGGGTGGGGGGTGGGGGGGGGTGGACAGCTGGGTGTGTGTGTTTATGTGAAAACCTGTATCACTTTGCCATATGTTCACAAGAATTTAACTTGACAAACGGACACACAGATATATACACATATACTATACACGGAGGCCAGAGTGAAGACGAATTTATTACCACCACTGTACTCACAAATAGGTGTTAATACACACTAGAAGGACCTTGTCCAAACACGCAGATAGGCCATTTTCTATTTCCCGGCCCCTTAAAGTTCTACCAGCATGTCTAGTGAGAGTTTTGTGTTGATTGTTTCCACAGTTTTATCCATTAAACAAGAAAGTATGAAGACTACAAACTAACTAAAGCTCTGTTATGACTTCACTCCTCATAACCTGTGCATCTGTGATTTCTATTCCCTTTGCAAGATTGCAGATGTTGTCACAGAATGAAAAAACAAGGAGACAAAAAAAATGAGTTGTTGGGGCACTTAAGACTTTCCCTGAGCCATGAGGAATTGCTTTGAAGACACTATTTATATCTATTGTTTTTTTCCCCCTTTCTTATTTTTCTCCCATAGTTGTATAAACCCCACATGTGAACATGCACTCTGGGAGATAAACATTTCCCATCACTCATATCTCACACACAGGTTGTTCACTATCTCCCACTGGCAAATCCTCCGCATTTACTGTATATTTTATTTTATGTTATTATTATTAATATTATTTATTGCAGCTGACTACATTTTTTAGAAAACTTTATTAGGACAGTCCTGGAGAACAAGTAGCAAATGTTACGGGCCCGAGACAACGTGCGCCGATCTGCTTTAAGCCAGCTAAACGTTTCCATGTGGCCTTTATGGGAAACAAATGGTGAAAGGCACGCTGTGACAGTAAAGCCCAGTGTACAGCCTGGTATTGACCTGCACTTATTGAATACTGCATCCCTTTCTTCTACCTCCACTTCATCCATTACCACTGACTTGGTTTTCTCACTTTATTTTCTCAGTCTTTTTCATTGTTGCAGTCATTCCATCTTTTTCCATTTTCTTAGTAATGTCTTGCTGATGTGCTCAAGGTAAGCCAGCGGTCTCTAAATCAAAGAAAGGATATGTGATAGTCAAAATTTTGGGAATGTCCTCCGTCTGATGGGAAATGTGTTGTCTCTCAGGTGAGGTAAGGGCTGACTGAAGATGCAGTCACCCAGGATTTCCAGAGGTTTCCGGAGTGTGTGTTTTGTGTCTGGTCAGTGGAAAGAGCGGAGATGACAGCAAGATGGACAGCACTCTTTAAGAAGAGAATGCAATGAGTCAGCAATGAGTCAGTGTTCATGGTAAAAAACAAAAGCTCCAGACAGCCTGAGTAATGTTCTTAGGCAGTGAAGCGGTGGGAAGAGGTTGTTGATTTAATGAGCTTGTCGCTGGTGTGCACCTGAAAAGATGCTCTCATGAACACAAGACTTGTTGTTGCATTATTCACAGGCTCTACACTTGTCCGCTGAAACCCTGTGAAAGTGTGATTTTTGTGGTTCCTGCGGATGTATCTGTGGGATTTATGTGCATAAACACCTCAGTAAATAAACGTGGATGTGGTTTTGAGAGGTAATTATGAGTTGATTTGGTATTCAGTCACAGTATGTACCCACTGAAATCTGCTGCAGCATCTGCAAGCCATTTGGAATATGAATCATCACCCACTTCCAGACAAACTGTTGAGCACTTCCTATAAATCTAATAACTCATGCTTTGTTCAGCTTTTTAGCATGGCTTGTACATCCAACAGAAAGTGAGAAGTTTTGAGGCCTCCCGAAGTTATGTTTGGGTCATCAGGAGTGTTGGCAGGAGGGGTGAGATGAGAAACAAAACTGGTAAAACACACCTCTGAAAGCTTAAAAACAAAAGCATGGATCAGATCCGGCTAACTCGTACAATAAAATCCTGGATCACCAGTGTCACAAGGGATTTGTGTTAACAAAGAAAACATATTTTCAGCAGGAAGACATGTCAGGTTGAAATCGGTTCAAAGCTGGGTCTCTTTTCTGTATTAGCAGTGACCTGGCTGGTTCCAAGAGGGTTTCAGTCGGAGCCCTGGACGACGCCGAGCCATTTAATGCCTTGTTTTTAGTTTTTCCTCCTTCCCTTTCTTCTAGGCTTTTTGGATGGGAGCTGCTAAGCTGCTTTCACTCTGCTTCCAATTTCCTCCTGCTCTTTTTGTTCTTCCTCTTTTCTCCAGGATCTGATGAAGAGGAGTTTTTAGACGTTTCTGATGATACAGATTTTACCCGTTCCAGATCCTCTTTATCTTTGTGCCTCATTTTCCCACAATACACTCGACTTTTGTCTTGTTTTTCTCTCTCCTTCCCTTTTTCCTGACCCCGCAGCCGCTCGAGTTGGAGTTTATGTAACAGCGGCAGAACTTTCCAGCTTGGAACGGCCTCACTTGAAGATGGAGCGAGGAGAATGAGAGGGGGAGAAAGAAAAAAAAAAGTGTCATGTATAATTTTACACTGGCTAGCCCTGAGGGCAAACGGCACCTAACCTTAGACTTCATTATTCCAGGGCCTTTTCCTCCAAATGCACATATGTAAGCATATATTTATATCAGTCTCCCAGGCAGTAACAAATACGTTAATTCCAATTGAAAAGCAGGAATGTGAAAGTCCTGGTTTGCCCTGGACTAAAATCAAACCAGGCTTCCCTCCCAGAGCACAGGGCTGCCTAGAGGCTGCACACCAGCTGCACTGGACGGGATATCTCCGCTCACCACTGCCAAGCATGAACCGACCGTGTGTGTGTGTGTGTCACATTAAAATCTTGGAGTGACAAAACACACACCATACACTGATTGGAGAGAAGCACTTCTGATGACGCATGTCTCCCAAGCAGGCCATCTATCTAACTTTTAAAGCATGATATCTGAGATAATATCACAGCATAAATCTAGACACCAGCTCTGAGGCTTTATGTCTTCAGCAAGTCATTTATTATCCGCCCACTACAAGCACCTCTCACACCAGTCAGTGTGATTGTAAAGGGTCTGGATGTCCTATTATGGAGGCTAGACATTTCAGGTCTGTGAGTATGACTTTCCATATAAAACACCTCAAGCTGTCACACTGGAAAACGAGACTGGAATTTGAAGGGTGGACTGGGATTTATGGCAAATCCCCAACGTGAGAGGCGCATGATGGGGCATCATTAGGTATATTTCCATGCAAATGTTGAGTGAATTTTATGGAATCTTTGAAGTGTTGAAAAAGTAAAATGCTAATTAGGTGTGTTTACATGAAAGTGAATATCCTATGTTAATCACGGTTAATCAGACACACTTATATGCAACAAAGCAAAAAACACTTTTAAGAAGTTAATTATTTCAGGTACTTTGTTATTGTCCATTACTGATTGCAAATGTTACTGATGTTTCATGCTTTTATTCAAAAATGAAAATGCACTTAGAAATGGCCATTCAGCTATTGGATTGGGATATGGGTATTGAATCTTGAACAAATTACAGCTAACATATGTTTGAATTAATTCAGTCTCAGACCAGGTAGTTTATGTTGTAGGATTAATGTGGTTCAGTACATTCATGT